TCCCGAGATACACTAGCTTGCTTTATTTAGCACAATTCAATTTAGATTGCACCCAAGGCTTCGTTATTCCTAATCCCGCCTTTAAACCCGCAATTATAGATTCCTCTAATAATGTAGGAGTGGTGTTGTTCAACAATACCCTAAATATGCACTCTTTTCCAAGTTATGCACACTAAATAGGCACAGCTAATTGAGGATCCTGTCAATTAACTACAACGAACACGAAGTTGAACAAATAAAGATTAAACTAGCAATTTGTATTCACATAAACAAGAAGTTCATCACCCAATAGGTTCCATCAAAGCCTTAGACAAGGAATTTAGCTACTCATGGCTATGGGAAAATAAACTAAGATTGAATTCATCATAAAATCAAAAGAAAAGAAGAAAGATGTTTAGAGTATTTTCTCCCAATCTTTTTTCTTGCTAAGAAACCTAAAAAATCAATACATGCCTCTCTTGGGCGAAGTCTAATGTTTTAAATAGGGTTTAGGTCTAAAATCCCGTAATTGACACTTTGGTCCCTGAAGTTTACTGCGCCTGCCGCGGTTCTGCCGCGGTCGCGGTGGAACCGCGGCCAAACATCCTCGCGGAATCTCAATCTTCTGCAGCTGCTTCCCACCGCGGTTCTGCCGCGGTCGCGGTGGAACCGCGGTGGATCCAGTTCTCTGAATCTTCGGCCTGTTTTTGCACGGGTCACTTAGGAAATTTCACAGTTGGCCTCTTTTTCATCACTTTTGACTCCAAAACTGCTCCTTAGCCGTCTTTATACATATATCACCTATAAATCATGAAAAGCACTAATAAGAGCATTTTGTCATCACTTTTAGCATTAAAACTACACAAGAAGGTGATTATTTAAGGTGTGATTATAGTCAAATTCACCGATTATCATTAATTGCTTAGTTTATGGTGATTACAGTTTCAAACTTGATAGGTTTAATTTTCAAGTTCTTAATTGGAATTATTGTATTTTAAATTTAAAATTATAAATTATAAATATAATACTTATGGAAATTTTAGTAGTTTTTCACTATATATTTATGATTGATGTAAAATATTATTGGATTCAATTGAACTACAGAAATAGAATGGCATCATTATTGTTTGTTCAAGACTTTCAAAGAGTGAATTTAATGTATTGTCACTGAATTTTACCCATTCTAACAGTAAAGTCACAAAAAAAATACTTTTACACTAAAATAATTTAATTTTACCTACTATAAATGTAAAAAATTAACTATTTTTATCACATTAAAATAATTAATTATTTCCAACTATAAAGTCATAATTCAGTATTCATTATAACAGTAAATTTAATCATAAAGCTTTAGCCATGACGTGAAATTAACTCGGCGTTTGATTGATTTTGATGAAAGAACAAATGAAATCAATAGATTGGTCCTTTATGATCAATATATACAAGTCATGGAGCCCAAAACCCGGCAATATATTATATGCAGAGTTAATGAGGAACATGTATTGTGAGTACGACCTCTATGGTGGTGGTAGATGATTATTTATGTTTTGCCACATGCCATCCCCACGACCCGATCCCTCAATAAGTTACTTTTGTTGGGAAATTATGTTGTTTGGTTCCCAAAAGCAACGAAAAAGGACTTCAATTTATTTATTTATTTATTTATTTATTTTTTGGCTTAAAAGATGCATATATTATTGAAAGCAGTATAGGCTTCAAATTTTCGATGTGACGGGAAAAAGAAAAACTCCCACAGAAAAATTCTATGGTAGAGAGAAAAAGGAGAAAAGGATTATGGGGCGACAAACATATCTTGGATTAATTGTTAATTCTTTTTATATAATCACTTATATTAGATACTGACTAGTCTAAAAAGAAGACCTATGCATGTGCCATGATTTTTTTGTTCAATCTTCATAATATAAGGCAGCTTTGGTTTTTTAAACTAGAAAATGGAGCAAGTAGGGTATCCTCCCCGTTGACAAATGACGGTGCTATTTTCTTCTTTCTTTTTTCTTTAACTCCCGATTATTTTAATCTTTTGATTAGTTTAATTAGTTTTGGATAATGATGACGGAACACATACTAGTAAAGGGAATCCAGCTTGGAAATCCAATTGTTTTTTGTCAGTTGTCAAACTTCGTCTTGATGCTACTTCAAAAGAAAAACACATGCATAAGTTCTGATGAATTATTATCCATTTGATGTTTAAAATATATAGGTGGCAGCAAAGCACGGAGTTGGCAACAGGAAAGTGCGAAGCACTGCAACTTATATGCAATAAATAGTTCTATGATATATAAAAATTACGCATCGATCACTTTTAAGAGAAAAAAATGTTATTTTTATGATAATATTAATTGATAATTTAATAAAAGTTATAATTAACCGATTATAATAGGTTAAATTAAAATGATAGGCATTATGTTGCTATTAGTCTTAAAAAATGTCTCCGGGCGTGTACCGGATCTCCAAAAAGAGTGCATTTTGGATAACCCGACTCCAGTATGTCAACATTTGTAGCGACTCGCACCAATATATATCATTGATAATGTACTAGAATTTTTATACTGTAAGTTTATATAACTTAAATCATATGCAATAAAACTGAATAAGACAAACCCAGCAACCAGCATATGAATGAATGGATGACATTAACATGGGTGACATAATTATTTCACTAATTATAGAGCAAACTTCATAACACTGTATGTCCACTAAAGACCTAATGGATTGAGAGTGATGAAAGGAGTCAAGGGTCCTCCATATAGAAAGAGTTGTGACTTCCAATAATTGTCATGTGCCTATCAAAATCACCAGGTGTGTAATCAGGTCAGCTGCCGGACCAACTATAGCCAAAGGTTGCTATTGCCACATGTGTGTGGCTGGAATGGATCTTCTATATCTAAAGTGCATATTAATTGCTACATCTTGTTTTTTCCTATTTATAATGCGAGAATGCTCTATACTTGCGAGAGAAAAGAATATTGTATTGATAAGCGGTATTTTTTAAGAATCTAAAAATCATGGAAAACATAAATGAAATTATATTCACCAAGAATAACTCCGACGTTACCCGTAGAATTCAAAGCTCCAACCTACCACTATGAGGTAAAAAGATTCATTAATTGACAGGCCCCATTGCCCAAATCAATGATTTCTTTCTTTTCCTTCTTTATGTGGAAACATAATATAGTATAATTAATTAAAATATGGTATTTATTACTCCCTTAGTTCAGTTTTACTTGGCTCGTTTCGACTTTCTACGCACTTAAGAAATAATTAATGAAGTGCATAATTTACCATGATACCCATATTAATTGATGCATATTTTATTGGAGTAAAAAAATGATTTGAAATAAGTAACAAATACTGTGGGTATAACAGGAAAAACAAGTTTGTCTTCTCTTGATATGCGTAAAGACAAGTAAACATGAAAATCTGTTAATTAGTATATATGCTAAGTAAAAGTGAACGGAGGAAGTATATCTTAAGCTTAACAATGAGAGAGCCACAAAATTTAATATGGTATTAACACCACATAAGATGCTAGGTTCAAATGCCAATGTCAACTTACAAAGTATATATATAATTGTATGTGTTTAGCCCATAAAAAAGTATATCACACTCAGATGTGTGAAGACTTGTTGAGACATGATATAAGTAAATATTTGTTCTGTTTCAATTTAGATGACATATTTTTCTTATTAGTCCGTTAAAAAAAATGGCATATTTCTGTAATTAGAAATAATTCACTTTTAAACTATTCATTTTACCCTTAATTTAAAATTTTTATAACCACACAAATGTCATGGCCCCACAAAGCTTTTACCCCTTAAGCTTTTAAGACCACAAGTTTCAAAAGTCTTTTTTTTTTCTTAAACTCTGTGTCGAGTCAAACCGCCTCATCTAATTTGAAACGGAGGGAGTAATTAAGGCCTCATTTGTTTTCTTAATGATTAAGACGTCTGAATCTGAATACACATCTGAATATTAAGATGTGTATTAAGATTAAGATATTTGAATCTAAATACACATCTGAATATTAAGATCTGAATACCAAATAATTAAGACTGTTTCTTTTTTTAACATATGAATATATAAAACTTATCTTTATTTAAAAATTAATAAACATAAAATTCAAATGAAATACTAATTAATCTAATGTTCAATTAATAACATATATAGTTTTTTTAAACTATGATAGTTGCTGGTGGTGATGGCTAACGATAATGCTTGTGAATACCGACTAGAGACCGTGGTTGGTGGTATTTTGGTTGGTGGTGGTGGTTCGGGGCATTCATTAGTGGTGATTGATAGTGGTGGCGATTATGACTGAGGATGCTTGTGGTGGGTGGTGATAGTTAATAATGGCGGGCGGGGAGGGGGGGTGGTTTATAATGATAGGCAATGCCGACTATGCTTGTTGGGGTGGTTAGTTGTGGTAGTGGAGGAGGATGAGTTTTGGTTGGGGTTGAGAATGATGGTGGTGGGAGTGGTGGGGATGGTGAGTGGTGGCGGTGGTTGAGTATGGTGGTGGTTGGTGACATGGTGATAGTTGATAATGGTAGGTGTTGGCGGCAGGTAATAATGAATATGGATGATAGCATCTTAATAAAATTAAGTTTTTGTTATAGATCTTAATCATACATCAGACACATTAAGTGGTTGTGAAGTAAAATAAACAAACATACTTACTGATTAAGATCTGAATAATTAAGATTTAGACTTTATAAACAAACAAACTAAATATCTGAGATCTGAATATTAAGATTAAGACCTCCGTTAAGTGCAAACAAATGAGGCCTAAAAGTGTTTTCCTTCCTAACAATTTAAATTTTTTGCTGAAACAGTCACATACTTCAATATTTTTCTCTTTTTTTGTTTTTTTGGTTTCAAATGCCTATTTTTCATTTTATAACATTTGGAGGAATGGGATGATCGAGGACAGACGTACCAGAAAGAAATAAAAAGGAAAAATAATAAAGAATCAATTAGGAAGGAATAATTAAGAAGCGGACCTGTCTCCATGGGAAATGTCTAACGGCGGCAAAAGCAAAGGTAACAGCAGGATTCATATGCGCACCAGAGATATGTCCAACAGCATATATCATGACTGTCACAATGAGTCCACCCGCAACGGAAGCTCCAAGCCTCGACACTTTGTGTTCGTCGCTCGCACTAATTGCAGCAGCACCACACGTCACAAACACCAATAGATACGTCGCAATTACCTCCGCTATCACCTGCAAGAATCATTACAAGTGGATTCAACATTTATACTATTCATGAGTTCCCAATTTTTATGTTTCTTATCGCGAACCCATCAAACTCACATTGCTAAGAACAAGAAGAAGATTAAAAGAAGAAGATGAATAAACAAGAGAGAAAAGAAATGTAATATTTCAACCTGAAATAAAAAAAGAAGAGAAGCTACTCCACATGCATGCAAGTAGCTAGATTAACGGACAGGTTTAAATTTTGTGTACCAATAATGTATAAGTATTTTTACACTATCAGGTTAATCAAGTTGACTTATAATAATAAGTAACTTTTTGAAGCAAATCTGATATGATAATAAAATAACAACCTTTTTGTGTTAAGTTAAATTGGACTGATCATAGCAGAAAATTTCTTTGAACTGTCAGTTATCTTAATGAACATATTTATGAATGAGTTGAATACCTTCTTGAGAAACCCAGGTGCGTAATATTCTTGAAAAAATATCAATACGTAACGGAAGGACAAGTCAGACTTTGGATTTTCGACGGACACCAATTCATTTGGTTTTTTGTTTTCTGTAGAGTTTCCTCGTTCACTCTCCATTGATGAACTAGATAGATAAATAAAAACTGGTTAACAAATAGTGCTATAGAGGAATAAAACAGAAAATTGAATCTCTTCTTCCTCCTTTTAAAATGTTTCTAGTTGGGAAAGGAGACGGAATATGTGAAGTTGAAGAGGTTTTAAGGAGACGGAATAAACTTTGTGCTTTGAGCTTTTAGCTCTAAGAAATTTGTTTCTTCCCATATACTTATATATAGAGATAGAGGTGGCAAAATGGTTAAAAGAAAATAGTTAATCACCCATATTATCCACTAAACAATGGGTCAAATATGGATAAGATTCATATTATCTATTTTTCAAATGGGTAATCAATGGATAACCAATGATTTTAACTTTTACATTTGTAAAGCCTCAAGTTGGAGGTTCCTTAAGTTTGGGAGACTAGGAATTCTCCCAAAAGTGATCATATTCAAGAAGTCATGGATAATGTCATTATAAATATTATCCGCCCGTTAACCCGTTTTTTATCTATATTAAATATGGGTCAGGTCGAATTTATCTAATTTTTATTAGTCATTTTCGATTTGAACCATATTTGACCCGACCCGCCCATTTGGAACTCCTATATGCACTTAAATTTTTTTGGGTGAAAAGTGTACATCCTCGATTCATTATGCATCTTGGACGCCTATCTCTTCGGACGTGGCCTGGACCCATACACGTTGCTCACTTATGCGTGTGTTTTCTTTTTCTTTTTGTTTTCAGTTTCATTTTTTTTTTTTTTTTGGGTATAGTTATGCTTTTTCCCTATGCAAAGGAGTATAGTAACGTAAAATTTATGTGCATCAGGTGTTTACACCAATTAATAGGTAAATGACATGTTTTATGTTATTTAATTATAATTGCAAGTAATTAGTCATAGTTAACTACCATATCTTTTGTACATAATCTTAAAAAATAATGTATAAATATACTTATAATTCTGCTATTCCATTATTTTTTTAGCTGAAGTAGATAAACGTAGGAATATCGACACATTACGGAAACCAAAAGCTCAAACAATCAATATTCTTTAAATACATTTAGTGCAAAAATTTTTTAAGCAAAATTGTAATGGTAAATAATCTTTTATAACATTATTTTTGGCATGTTTTATTAGGACACTAAGCATGAAACCTAATCAAAGCTAGTGATATAATATTAGAGAAGTAAATGAAACAAAGCTAGTGATATAATATTAGAGAAGTAAATGAATTTGAGTGGACTTCATTTTCTAATTTCTCACATTATTCAATGAGAATACACGTCATATCTGTTAAAAAAATTATTTTTAATATCTCAAAAAGAATTTTTAAATTAATGTCTAGGTTAACTCTTTTAATGGGTCTTTATATCACCAATCAATTTGAATATATTTTAATGTGTGCAAAAGTAAATTAGAATAACTTTGAATATAATATTTATTAACATTAATTGGCTATCAAAATAAGTTATTTTTCTACATCTTTCATTCTGATCAAATATGATCTTAGTTGAATGTTTCTTAACATTGATTTAGAAATCATTTCTTAGACGTTTCTTTACGTTACATCAGTTGGAATTTGACTCCTTAATGGAGTTAAATGTTTTTAATGATTGTCTTTATGTTTTTTAACAGAAAAGCAACGTTAAAAATTTGGATGAGCCTTTATCGCTTAGATTCATTATCAAATGGATATTTTCTGTTTTTGGACTATATAAGTCCTTTGTGTGGTCACTTTGAAGTAGAGTGAAAATAGAAAAAACTTTTCTTCTTCTTTCTTTGGTGCTGGGTTTTCTTCTTATGAATCTTTGTTGTTTCTGCTCCTAGTTATACTAGAAGAGCTTGTTGAATCCTGGGGGATACGCCTAATATTATTCATCTCGGTGCGGGCGAAATATCCTTAAGGACAGTGTCTTTGACACGCCTCAAGCTAAACCTTTTATTCTCCATAATCATCCAATTTTTTCCAACAATCTTAAGGATATTTTGCGTCGTTATTATGGAGAATAACGCTGCTAATGTTGCTGTTGATGCTACTACACCTACTGCTCCAGCTGTTTCTGTTGTTGTTCCATCACCAATTACCTATGCCAAGCCTTTTTCTGATGTTTCGAAAATTGAGGTTTTTGGTGGAGATAATTTTAAGCGTTGGCAGGAACGAGTGCATTCTATTTTGGATATGCATGGAGTTGCTTTTGCTCTAACTGATCCAAAGCCAAGTGAAGCAACTTCCATTCAGATGGATCAATGGGTTCATGCTAATAAGGTATGTAGACATACTATAATTTCTACTCTTTCTAACGAATTGTTCGATGTCTATGTTTCCTACAAGGAGGCAAAAGAAATCTGGGAGTCAATGATAACAAAGTACACTGCTGAAGATGCCACTAAACAAAAGTTTGTAATTGGAAACTACTACAAGTGGGAGATGACGGAGGACAAGGACATAACTGCACAAATCAACGAATATCACAAATTGATTGAAGATCTCAAATCTGAAGATATTTCTCTGCCCGAACAGTTTGTTGTTGGTATGATTATAGAAAAACTTCCCAAATCTTAGAATGACTACAAACAACAATTGAAACACAAAAACAAGCAATTGTCGCTGAAGGACTTGGTCAAGCATATTATAATTGAAAATACAAATCGCAAGCAAGTTGTTGCTGACAAAGGAAAGGAGATTGCTACAAGAGCCAACCTGGTGGAGAACAATAAGCGGCAGAACAAATCAAATAACAGGTATGATAAAGGAAATGTTTATAAGCCCAAAACCAACAATCAAACCTTCAAGAAAAAAGGTAACTGCTTTATGTGTGGCAAACCTGGCCATCATGCTGCTCAATGCCGGAAGAGGGTTGGGAATGACAATCCCACCAAGGCTAAAGTAAATTTAACTGAAGCTAAAGCGGATGACATAATTGTTGCAGTTGTTTCCCAAGTGAACCTTGTGGCCAATGTGAAAGACTGGGTGTTAGATTCTGGTGCCACTAGGCATATATGTGCTAACAAAAAAGACTTTGTGTCTTACACCCAAGTTGAGGAAGGAGAAGAAGTTGTATATTTTGGTGACTCAAGAACTACTCAAATTCTTGGAAAAGGCAAAGTTCTTCTCAAACTCACATTTGGCAGAACTTTGGCATTGAATGACGTGTTGTATGTCCCCTAGTATCCGAGCCAATTTGGTCTCTGTGGGATTATTAGGAAAAGTGGGGGTGAAGGTTTCTTTTGAATCTGATAAGGTCGTGTTGACCAAGAATAATAATTTTGTTGGCAAGGGTTATTATAATCATGACTTGTTTGTACTCAATGTTATCAATGAAAATGCTAGTACTTCTGCTTACTTGATTGATTCTTTTAATTTATGGCATGCTAGATTAGGACATGTTAGTTTATCTTATATTAAGAAAATGCATTCTGAATGTCTTATTTCAAATATTAATTTTTTAAATATTGATAATTGTGAGTTTGTGCAGAAGCTAAACAAACTAAGAAATCATGTGCTTCAGTATTTAGAGAATATGAATTATTAAGTTTAATTCATACTGATTTAGGAGACTTGAATCAAACTATGACTAAAGGAGGGAAAAAAATATTATGTGACTTTTATAGATGATTTTTCTAGATATACAAAAGTTTATTTGTTGAGAAATAAAGATGAAGCTTTTGATAAGTTTTTAATTTATAAATCTGAAGTAGAAAATCAATTGGATAAGAAAATCAAAAGAGTTAGATCTGATAGAGGTGGTGAATTTATTTTGTTGAATGATTATTGTGAGAAAGAAGGCATAATTCACGAGATAACTCCGCCATATTCTCCACAATCAAATGGTGTAGCGGAAAGAAAAAAATAAGACCTTAAAGGAAATGATGAATAGTATGCTTGTTAGTTCTGGTGCTCCGGATAATCTTTGGGGTGAAGCCATTTTATCTGCTTGTCATTTACAAAATAGAATTCCTTATAAGAAAACGGGTAAAACTCCTTATGAGTTGTGGAAAGGGTATCCACCTAATTTGAAATATTTGAAAGTGTGGGGGTGCCTTGCTAAAGTAATGTTGCCTGATCCTAAGAAAAGAAAAATAGGATCTAAAACATCTGATTGTATGTTTTTTGGGTATGCTGAAAACAGTGCAGCATACAGATTTTTAGTAGTCAAAAGTGATGTACTTGAAAATAATACTATTGTTGAAACAAAAAATGCTGAATTTTTTGAAAATATTTTTCCTTTAAAATCTGAGAAAATTTTTGATGCTCCTATTATTCCAAGTGATAATATTTCACATGATCCAATTATTCAAAATGATTTTGAAAGTGAGGATTTAAGAAGAAGCAAAAGACCAAGGAGAGAAAAATCTTTTGGTAATTGATTTTTATACTTATCTTGTAGGTATAATGATCCTTTAACCTATTCTGAAGCTATT